TGATGTTTTGTGTTTTTTTTCTTTCATAATGATCCCTCCCCCTTCAAAAAGTATCTAAATATCATTCAAATTACTAATTTCTTCTGTCTTACCTAACACATAAACAGAATTCCAATCATTAAACTTAGTGTAACATTTAAAAAACTAAAATGAAAGTATAAAATGACAAAAATATTTATGCAAACACATTATAAGACCGTGGCAGCATAAAAGCCAAGATGTGAACAGGATAAGAGCATTCAATCTCTTTGTTCATCCTTTCAGGGGGTCTATTACGAGTCCAACTGGAAAACACTCTCTTGCATGAAGATGAAGCTGGATTCCTCCTTCATTCCCATGCAAGTTCCCCCTGATGCTAAACTGATGGGTCAGGTGTTCATGGGCTCCTCCTCCTCTTGGGGAATGGGTGTGCTAACCAACACCTGGTATGGCAGTCTTTCAGAAAATGGTAAGAAGCAAAAATAAATGTGTTCTATACTAATTCTAAGGCTGAAAGGCCATGAATACTACCACTAGTGCTATGTGCTATTTTCATTATTTTGGAAGACAAATTTTAATTTATTTTTGTGTAAATGTACATGCTGATTGGTAATTTCAAGTAGACTTTGTAGTAAAGGATTGGCAGTATGCTACAATAAACCTTTCGATCCTACTAGTTATTAGGTTAAGCCAATGTACTACTAAATGACCAAATTACCTTTGCCTGTGCATGCATGTCAAGCATAGTGACAAGAAGAGTAAATTCCTATTTATGACAGAATAAAAATAAATAGTAGTGAATTTAGTAAATGTAAAATAACACTTTTTAAAAAAATTTGTATGCTACTCAGGTAGCCTGTTTACATATAACCTATACTTTATGTTTTCAGGCCTTTATTCAACTGTCTTTACTGAGATCGGCTGCATCCCTGTGTCCTTCACAAGCTATACTCCACAATCTGGGTGGCTCACTGTCAGGTAACTGTAAGAGAGTCTGTCTCGAATGTAAAGGGAAGGTATGTAGGCAGACTCAGCAAAAAAAATTGAGTTATGAGAAAAGGGTAGATTAGATAAGATTTACAGTATTCTACATGACATATGAAACTTAGACATAAATGAAACTCCACAAATTAATATATACTAACCAACATGACAGGCACACAACATACACAGCACACCTCTCCCCATCTGACGTCTACACAGCCAATTAGTCCAGATATACCAATAGCTGGTAAGCCAGTAAAACTACAAAGCAACATGAACATCTGAGAAACACATAACACTCAGTAATTTATCACTAGCTCATTTTCATGGCTAAATTGTTCCCTATAAATAAATAATTAAAAATTCAATAATAATTCAAATATTCTTAACAAATCCATTTAAAACAAGCCTTCCTACAGAAAGACA